CGGATCGAAAAGCTTGATGTACAAAGGCTGGAGGGTAGTTGTTGTGCAAGCAGAATACTTTCTTGATGTGTTGTAATTCTTGTTGAAAGTATTCTGGATCACAAATCCTTTTTGCTCTTCTGACCAGTGCTGTGATGGCTGCCCTTTTGACATGTTGAGGGGTGTTGGAATGGTAGTTCACATACTGATCTTAATAATAAGCATTAAGGTATATATAGTTTGCCCATCACTTCTTCTCATTATATACCTGAGGACGACGGGGGAAACACGTCGAAACGTTGCATAAAACTTTAACCAGTGATTGTTGTTCCATAAAGCTGTGTCTATATATCGTACTCACAATTGCTAAATGCCATTCAAAGACTTTATTTAATAATTTGTTGATCTTAATACTTTAGTTATAAATTCCATTATACACACAAAATGTTCAATTATAACTACCTAGTATGTACTTTCATACTTAAGTCTTAATATTAATGGCTATTTTACTTGTATGAATCAAAGGTTATTTCTGAATATTTCAAGTTATTATAATATTAAAAAAAACTGCACTTTTTTCGTATTTGTTTTGGTTGCATCCAGCCTACACACTGCTGTCTCTTTTCATTTGAACTAAAACATAAAAATCCCATTCCGAACTCTGATAGAATAGAATATCTCTAGATAAATCAATACAGTTTTTATGCAAGATATAAACTAGATTGACCTAATATATTTCTCAAATAAACTTTAGAGGAAGATTTAAGAATGGTAACAAAATGAACTTGAGTTTGACATTCTAATTTTCTGCAGGATAATTCTTTTCCAATGAATATCTGTAGTTCCATGCAGTGTAATGGGGAAGCAAAGCTAAATCACCCCTTTGATGATTTAAACTATCTAATGAAGTTGCTCATTGGGCAATTTTTTCCACATACCAGAGCAATAAAACACAAACTAATTGTCCTACATTCCTTCCTTAGGTGTCATAATTAAACTCAGACATCAAGTTAGGCCATTGTTCACCTTGCTCTGTTTTCCAAAGTGAAGTTGGGTCATACGGATGGATTATAAATCGGGAGAACCTCCTTGACTCAACCAAGGATGCAATAGTAACTGCAATGCTGATTTGTCTCAAGATCAGATTGGTACTAAATCAACATTTAAAAAGCTTAATAAATAGTATGTTCATCACACACAAATTTTGTGCTGGAAGTTTAGAGTCTCTCTTATCTATGTCTTATGTTTCTGCTCCATATCATGAGCAGATGAGATATTTAGTCAATTATTCTCAAACATTTTCTGAAGATCTTTGTTTCATGAAGAGTAATTCGTACTTGGAGTTTCTACCATATGGAAAACTACTCATTCGAATGGTCTTTACTTTTTGGTATTCACTCCAATCCTAAAACAGTTTTTGTTTCTGACACCAGGGTCAATAGTAATCGAACAAAAAGAATGTTATGAGAAATGAAACTGCAGAGTGTGAAGACTACTTATAGTAACAGTTACAGGACATTTGATTAATACAAGATATCTAAAATATCATATAGATCAATTAAGTGCTTCTAGGGTGATCCTGGGAAATTGATGTTAATTCATTTTTAAAGCTGTATTTTTAAGACATATTTCCAAATTATCTTTTAATCCAAATTGGAACATCATAGAATGAAAAAATATTATGGAACTTCCTTATCCTTATTCTTGTTATTGTGTAAAATTTAGCCTTCTTACTGTATTTATCCAGATACATACTTATAAAGTTATATATAAGTGCATGCATGGAAGAGTTTAACTCAAAGGGTATCAAAGAAGTGACAAGCAAACATCATGAAGCCTCCTGTATCCGGGTATTCTTTTGTTCAGGTTGAGAATATATATATTCATAATACCATATTCTATGATTCCACAGAGAACTTCCAAGCTCTCAACTAATTGTTAAGCTGTCCAATAATTGAGAGGCATGGGCAATATTCCATCAAATATTAAACAAATGAAGCTAATAGAAAATCTGTACTATTAAAGAAATCAATGATCACATGAATTTAATACCATGAAAAAAAACTAGTATATAGTAGCCGTATATAAAGTCTTAAGACATAGAAAAATTCAATAGATATGTACAAGACATGAAAATCCCTTAAGACTTCAGCCATCTTGTATATAATGTTTACTATACACTTTAGGCCACATCTTGTTAAGAAGTGGTTTACAAGCTTTACCAGAAATTCTTAATGAATGGTATGGATGTCATATTATGTAACTCATATATTTATAATCTTTACAATAGTATTAATTATTTTCAGCAAATTATCATCAATACACAAAATTCAAATTCAAGAATGAAACTTCAACTGCAACTTCAAAAACCCCTGCTTTAGATGGGTAATTATGATCATAAACAATTTTTATGAATTCCAAATCTTTTCAACAAAATCAAGTCATTCTGTCTTCCCATTACTTTCAATAAGCATTTTTACAGACAACATATGAAATAGCATTCAGATTTTTATATTAAGTTTTCAGAATCCAAATCAGTTCCACAATTAAAAAAAACATAAGAAGGCAGTTCATGCAACTTAAGACAGTGTAGTTGATCATGACTGTTTCCAACAAAATTAAAGTACTGGCCTAACATTTGCTGATAAGACTTCAATGGCCACAGACCTCCCTATTTTAAATTGCTAATTTCTCACCAGTTATAATCTTGTAAGAAAAATAACCAATAAAAAGAAAACTGAATGTGTTTGAGGTTAAGATTTAAAGGATCATCTTCAATATGTAATGGCTTCTGTTTAGGGCAGCACAGAGTAAGATCTAGAAAATTGTTCATGATCAAACAGCAAGCTTAAACTGATCAAATAAAAGTAAATGTAAAGTCAATTTAAGAGCATAGTTTTAATGAGCTAACTGGTGACATATTTGAACCCAGATTGGTGCTTATGTTCAAAGTTTCAGTACTTGTTACGGGCCAAATTTATGTGATAATTAAAATAGATATACTGTTTGCCATGTCCATGTACATCATGCTTACACTCAAGAAGCTACTACAAATTGTTAACTCACATAAACATAACAGTTAGGGACAACGAAATAGAATATGGAATCATTAAGGACTTGGAGCCTAGTATTACAGATCTGAGTACAAAGTGTACATATTGATGTGGTGTGGAGAGCATGGGAGTCTTTGTAGCAACATAATGTAAACTGGATGACAACCTGTTCTGGAACTGGGAAATAAGCAGTTTTATACAGGGTAGTAACATTTTATAAACTAGGTAGCAACTTGGTAGCCATATGTAGTTGACTGGGTAGCCATATTTAGTAGACTGGGTAGCCATATTTAGTAGACTGGGTAGCCATATGTAGTTGACTGGGTAGCCATATTTAGTAGACTGGGTAGCCATATTTAGTAGACTGGGTAGCCATATTTAGTAGACTGGGTAGCAATATTTAGTAGACTGGGTAGCAAGTTGTGGTCAGGTAAGCAACATGGTGTAAACTGGGGAATAAAAAGTTTTTAACAGGATAATAACCTGTAATAAACTAGGTAGCAACATGTTGTTGATTAGTAGCTACCAGTTGTGGTTGGGCACCATGGTGTTAACTGGGAAAAGACAATTTTGAAGTGGGTAGCACTTGTGTGAAATGGGTAGCAGCTCATTGACCAGGGAGCCAAATCATCGCACATCTGGTACCAAGAGAAGTTATTCCTCCAGCTGTTTTCTAATATATTCCTCATTATTTTGAACAGGTGATAAAAGAAGATCAGTATGTTACAAACTGGAGAGCAAAACTGGATGATTCTTTAAAGAAGTTGCTATATTTATAGCAGAAGCAATTTCAGGCTACATTGATATTCTGTAACATATTCAAATCATTGAAATGAATCAAATAATATGAATATGTAGTAGGTCTACCTTGAAGAAGTAATTCAACCTGATGATGATCGCATTTATCTATATATTATATTGATGTGGAAATAATATTAATGCTATTATTATATATATAATCATTACATTGGTTTATAATTACATATATCATATTATATCTAAATCTCATATATAAATAAACCTACACCATAACATTATAGCTGGTGTCACTGAACCATAAACTAAAATTAGGATGCATTTCAAATAAACTGGCATTTTTTGGCCAGTGACATCTGATTTTGTTCATTCTATTCATACTTTGATACTGTACACAAAATGGTTCAGGATTTGTTTGAAATCTTTATACCGTAGAATTTCACTGAATTATTTTCACAAATACATTCTATTTACATATAATAACAATGATAATCATATTTGGCACTGGAACATGTGTGGCCATAATGGAAAAGAGTGGGGTACTTTTACACACCCCTTCCCCAAACCTCACCCTTTTCCTCTCCTTCTACTCACTAATTACCCTTTGTATCACTGCTTGACTCAACCTTCAAGTATATTCCTTATTCATTTGATAACAAATTATCAGACTCATATCATCCTCACCTCATTTTACATAGTTATACCAACAACTCCCTTCATCTGCCAAGACCTACATCATTGACATAAAATACTAAACAACAAGATCTTAAGGTGCCCTAACTTAGCCCTTAAAGTCCATAAGCAGATTAAACCAACCCATCCAAAATTCTTTTGGTTAGAACGCTCTCTTTCTTCTGCAGCTCTTTTTTCAGGAACTCTTTAATAGCCATTATCTAAGACCATTCATAAGAAGTCCATGGTCTGCGAAGAACCACTCTTTATATAAAGCCTGTTTATGCCAGGTATAAATAAATGAAGTATGCTGAACCAAACACATTGTTCTAGATAACAAAATACATCAATCTATTGGGATTTTTCTGTATCATTAGTAAAGAGTCGATATTTGGTCAAACATGAAAAAACAACACGGTTGAAATACCGATAGATACACAGAACAATTGTATTGCTTCGGGCTATAAGGTTTTGAAATGAAAATATACGTCATTTGTATGTTTAAATAAATAAACTAGACAGAGAAATAACGGTACCTACCTTACATCCAGTGACTGAATGAGTCGCCAATTCCACTCGGGCAAAATTCCCTTTGCCCAAAACAGTGCCTGCTAGGGTGTATTTTCCAATACATTGGATTTTTTTACCCATTTTTAACACCGCTAACTATTGCATCTCCAGCGAGTGTGAGTTCGGAAGACCGCCATAATAGACGCAGACTCAGCTGGCCTGATGAATTTCGTACAGTTCCATGCTAAAATTCTATCCCAAGCTGACAAGATCTGCTTTAAAAACTAGCATGATGGCGGCCCAGTTACGATTTTGGAAAACAGTTCAAACGAATATAATAAAGAGATACCATGGAACTGGCCCATGGTTTAAAACACAAGTAGCTGTATAATGCTGTTTAATTCCATTATGAGTTCTAGCATTATAATAATGCTTATAATTCCAAGAATCCAAATAACCA